TTAAGGCCTTAGCCCAAGAGGGATGTGAGGTGGCTTTAACGAAGCAGGTAACCTGGGTGTGGAGAAGAAGCACATTTGAGATCTGAGGAGACAGCTGTCGGGGCTTGGTTGCCTTTTGTATGTCCGCTTAAAAAAGGTTTCCCAGATAACTCCCAAGGGACCGCATGGGTAACCTGAAATTCATATCCATGCATGTAGACAGAGACTGACGTGGTGGGAAGACAATAAACCCTGTCATAGACATTTCATGTACTCATTAGACATTCAAGTAGAGAAGCTTAGGAGACAGATATAATATGCATCTGGGAGTCAGGAAGGATTGGAGGCAGACAGAAGCTATTTTCCAGTGCTATGAACCACCCTTTAATTCTTAGCATTGTGTTTAAGACCAGCTGTGACATAATGGTTCTACAGCTGATGCAACAAATCATAAACTGGGTGGCTTAAAAGAAATGTATTCTGTCACTACGCTGGAACTAGAAATCCCAAGTCAAAGTGTAAGGATTAGTTCTTTCTGGAGTCTCTGAGGGGGAATCTCTTCCATGCTTCTTGCTTAGCTCCTGGTGGCTGCTGGCTTTCCTCAGTGTGTCTTGGTTTTTAGATGCATAACTCCAATCTCTGTCTCCACAATTATGTGACCTTCTTCCCCATGTCCCTGCATGTCAAATCTTTTCTTTCTCTACAAGGACACATGCCATTGGATTTCAGGCTCACCCTAAGTACAGGTGATCTCATTTCAAGGTCCTTAATTTAATTACATCTGCAAGGACTCCATTTCCAAATTGGGTCCCATTCACAGACACTGGGGGTGAGGATAAGACACAGATGTGTGTTTCTGAGAGACACAACTTACCAGACTACAAGTAGTTTCCTGTTTTTCCTTGAACCTTTCAACAGCCTGTTTCATTGTGCAGCAGCCATTACTCACTGTTTCTGTTTATGTTTTATCCTCTCTTAGATTGGACTTTGCATTTTGTACATTTTTTTCTGCCCCTGAAAATGTATAATAGGGGCCTTTTTTAATTTTGAGAATTTTGTTGGTAATGGTTAAGAAAACACACTAAGACATAAAACACTAATTCATGGTAAATTTTATGGGGTTACAGAATCTCTCAACTACGTTTATGATTCCCAACTTGCATTTCCCAGATCTCTTCTGAGATGTCAACTGGACCATGTTGGCCTTTGCCCCCTCATTTCCCTCCTAAGACTGAGGCTCACTAAACCTCTCCTAAACACACACCTGCCTTCCAATCCTGCCTTTAGGTAAAATTGTTACCTCAATGTACAAGGAAGGGAGAATAAAAGGTATCAAATGATCATTTTGGGTCTTTTTTTGGACTCAAATGGGGGACTTCCATTTAAGTGAACCTCTCCACCAACAAGTAATGGTATCTCCTCATAGACTTTATCATAATGGTTCAAACCATGTATGAAGACTGCTGAGGGTAAGCATAGGTAGGAAATGAAAAAAGAAAGAAAAGAAAGGAATTAACATTTTTCCATTGTCTCCTCAGGTACCAAGTGTTCTATATGCCTTCACATGTGTTATTTTGTTTAATTCTTCCAGACCTTACATTTATTTTACAGGTGAGGGAGGTGGAAACTCTGTGAGATTGTTATAATTTGTCAAATATCGCACTTTCCAAGCATTAGAAACCCAGATCCATCAAACCCAAATTTTACCTGTTTCACCCATGCTATTTAGCAGATAAATCAATGGTTATGAAATAACTATTGTACCAAAAAAACTACCTTAACTCATTTAATCCTCACATTTGTGTTGTCTGGTGAGTGTTATCCCCATATAACTAATGAGTCTATTGAGACTTAGAAAAGTAAAACAGCACACACAATTTTATAGCTAGTAAGTGAAAAAGCTGGAATTTTACTTCAGGCTTGTCCAACTCTAAAACATACACTTCTCCTAAGGAGTGAAACCCTGCAGCAAAATCTAAAGAACAGATGAAAAAAGGAGCCCAGGAAAGGGTATGAAGATGGGGGGTGAGAGAAGAGAGGGGATCCAGGGCTATGGCGAGAAACACGGAAGGAAGGAGTTTCAGTGAGGAGTTGCTCAGTGCTGTCATTCTGCAGAGATGGAAAATGACTCTTTTATTTGGCAATTAAAAAGACACAGGAGGCAGAAACAAGGTTGCATTAGGAATGGGAGGGTGAGGAAGGAGTGGGAGAGTATGAATCTTTGAGAAGCTTGGCTTACAAGGCAAATAGACAGGGATGGAACAAGAGGGCAACACAAAGGTGAAATTTGCTTGTTTTAGGAGGAGAACCTTATGTGCTTATAAGTTGAGATGGTTGAGATGGGCGAGAAGAGCATAGAGATGACAAACATGAAAAAGAATACCCATGGTGGAGTGTAGGAGTCTGGGACATGAGTGTAAATGAGTCGTCTTGAATAAAATTAGAGTCACTGTTTTCACAGAAGCAGGAAGAGGCATAAATGGAGATAGATCTGAAGTTAGCATGGGGTGAGAATGGGAGGGGGGAGCAGAAAGGTCCAAAACCAGAGGCCAGACCATTTGCCAAGAGAGGGAGTCACAGGTTGGGGAACTTGGTGACTGCAATAAGGACAGACTGTAAACAACCACCAAACCATCCCTGTAGTGTTAACTCTGGTGTAGAAATGGCTTTTACGATTTAATACATGAGGTACCAATGTTAGTATTTCATATAGCATGTTAACTAGTACTCAAGAGTCTCTAAAAGCAAGAATGTTTACTTTAAAATGAACACCTATTTCCACCTGCACACAAGCACACACCTCCACTTGGAAGAAGCCATTATAAAAGATACATCTGCCAGTCATTTACCCCCACAACAATTTGCATCTCTTTTGCATCAGTGTTAATCATTTTTTTCTACACAGTATTATCTTGGCAGCACCTAAAAAGCATAAAGAATTTTACATTTTATTCAATGCCATGTGTCAAACCATTTCACATATATCTGTGCTCTGGAAGAGGCAAACAGACTATAGAAGTGTGCAATGTCAGGTTGTACATAAACAGGAATTACAGGGTAGGAAAATCAAGCCTGTTCCCTTAGCATGTTACTAAATGAACATACTCCAAGACCATCACTGCCCAATAAGAGCTGTATTTCTTTCTAGAGTGGTAACATTTGTGAACAGAATAGTTCAAGAATAATATATGAAGAAGGTTGTTCAAGCCAGGATAATAGGATGTTGACATTAAAAACAACCACCTTTTAATAGTAAATCTTAACCCTAAAGGTCTGACTTGGGTCTAGAAAGTTGTTCATATGAAAAATAATACAATAATTAACAAATAATAATGCAAGAATAAACTCTTAATTCATGTACTCACAACTGTAAGCCTAGTTTTGACCCACCCTGTAGAGTAGCTCCTGGTTCTCTCTTCTACCAACTACCCTGGAACTTCTTTTTCTGCCTTCGAAGGAGATCAGAGGGCCAGGCCTGGTCTGTGCACAGTAAAGAGGGAGTGGGGGGAGAGGCAGCGCTGCCCTAATCTCCCATCGGCTTCTTCAACAGAAATGTTTAAGCAGCAAGAAAGTACCCTATGTTTTTTGGCAATCAGCAGATCAGATAGAGGAGCCTAGCTATACAACGAGGATGTGTAATCTGACGTGATTAGACAAGGCTCTTTAGTACCAGAACATTCATAATTGAGACAAAGAAATAGTATTAATAACACTTTCCTAACACGGCAGTTAGCCATTTTATATTTCCTTTCTTTAATCTTAGTGTTTTTCAACAAATCATGGGATTTAATAGTGTGTTTTGGCAGATTAGAGGATTTATGGCCCAGATGTTTTTTGTTCTAAAAATGGATTAGGGTGTAAAGTTTGCTGGAATCCATGGAACATGTTGAGGCAAGCCGGTCATTTTATGTGTGATTAGTGCCTGCCTTCTGTCTCACAGTCCCTCCATCTGTCACAATTCACCAATGGATCTGGTTAGATTTAGCCTCATGTCACAAACAAGTCCCTTTTCTGGGCAATTTCATATTATAGATTCAGTTTATGCCATTTTATGCCCTAGTTAAAAAATAAGGAGAGCAGAATATGAGATATTAGCTTTCCTTTCAATATTTGCAAAACGATCCTTTCTCATTAGTATTCTACCTTAAGATCTTGCAAGTTATCATAATAATGTATATCGAGTAAATAAAGGACCAGTGTTAAAGTTAGATTTAAATTAGTTTTGCTTCTTTTACCTGTTATTTTTAAAAACATATATTTTGGCTCTTTTATGCTAACTCTGGATTGTAGAGCAGATACAGGCTGGTCATTTGACCATCTTTTTAAGAGTGTGAATTGAGTGACTATACTTGCCAGTAGCCAATTTTTTTAATCAAACAATTACAGGTGTTTGGTTACAGTCTAAGCTTGAAATTTAGCCTCTTGACTATTGCAAGGATGTATCCACAGTAAACCACTGCCACCTGGGGTTTATTTCCCCATAAGTGGATTCAGAGGCAAAATGCTCTTCTTTGTCAGTTAAATTGATTTATTCTTTCTGTAAATAACAACATAAATATGCTATACATAAACTTTAGATTGACCTTTTTAGTGCTATGAGAGTGTCAGTAATTGTACTGATAATCATCAATATCGGCACCCTATGGTAACAGTCAAATAATCCTTACATGAAAAAATCTAAGGTAGATTTTAGTTTTGTACTACAAAATATTCACATAACTAAAAAGAGCTTATGTAAAAATAGTATTTTAAACTTTTTTCCAAATGTGTGAAAACAACTATATTTCACTTAAATACTATGTTTTTATTACAGATGTTTGACGCCATGTTCATATGTGACTATGTGAATCCATCATCATCAATTACTTATTCATTCATTCATTCATTTAGACAAATTCTACTGAGCATTATTATATGCCAGACACTAGCCATTACCCACAAAAGAAGTGATTGTTATGGTTAAAGGTTAACTTATCCATGCATTTGCACAAAATATATCCTTTGTTCTGTCACATCTTCAGGTTACTTAAATGACCATGATGCTGTCACCAAGGCAATCCAAGAGGCTCGGCAGATGAAGGAGCAACTTCGGCGGGAACAACAGGTGCTTGATGGGAAGGTGGCTGTTGTGAATAGTCTAGGTCTCAATAACTGCCGGACAGAAAAGGTTAGTTCATAAACTAACTGACTTTCCGAAAATGCTTCAATTGCCTGAATGATTTCTTTTGGGGGGTATTTCCAATCTTCTCATCATGTCGAAATAATGGTTCTCCTCCCTTTTTCCTTCTGTCATTCAGAAATCTCCATGTCTATTCTAATCAAAACCAGTCAGTAATAAATAGGCAGGGTTATAATTATCTTGTATCTGTCTTCAAACTTTATTGAAAATTAATATCTCCTTTTCTGCCATCCATTTGTATTAAAATGAAATAGCATTTGTGATAAGAGTCTGAGCAAAAGTTTGCTTTACAGAGATGCGTAACTTGTATTTGGGGATGAGCTGGATTTGGAAATGCTGAATCTTCTTTAACCAGCATAAGCTTGGATGATACCCATGATCATAATCTAAGTATCTGGGATCCTGAGCTTGTCATATGTTTCTAATGTAAAGCCCTATCAAGTTTTAGGTGACTGCACAATTGGAAAATTTAACTTTATTATAAAACAAAATGTGATTTTTTAAAAACTTGGACATTATTATTCTACCTAAGACCAGTGAAACTTCTGAATTTATCTGATGTGTAATAAATTTCAACACTTATTCAGAAAAATATAAATTATAGAAGGCTTATAGTGATATACTTCTTTTGGTAATGTTTTATGTGTTTTGAACTGAAATACTAAACTTCAATTCACAGTTACTGAATTTCTTTTAAATAACCCTCTAGTTACACATATACAGTAGGTAAAAGGGGAAAATGACCAACTTCTGAACAATAACTTGACAGTTAATCATCACAGGAAACATAAGTCAAACTGTATTGTAGAGAAGGAGCAGTCTAGTACTTTGGATAGCTTTCTGGCCACCCAGGTCTTATAATCTCTAAGAAGCTGGCAGTCTGCATAGTGAAGAAGTGTATGCATGATTCTATCACAACCATACTTTTTTTTCTGGTCCAAATGTGTGTCCAAACGTTTAATTCTGTTCTGTTTCTAAAAGGGAGAGCAGAACATGGGTCAGTATATCATCCCTTCCAGTCTCACGACATACGAAGGCATCGGTGCACCTAGAAGGGCACAAAATTTTTCTAGCTGAACATCAGAAGGGAAGGGAAAAAGCAAAGTGGCAGCTATGAGAAGAAATGATAGCAAGCATAAAGGAATTTACATTCAAATATTTAAACATTCTTGAAAGGATGCTTGAACAGAAATTCCTTTTTTTTCTGCTCCCCGTGTAGAAATGAGTTTAACACTCAGCCAGATGCTAATGCAAAGTGACTCAAGCTATTCCTCGCAAGCATAGCTAAATTGCCGTTATTTGTTAAGCGCATCGAATTCAGCTGTGGATGCAGCAGTTGGTTGCATTCAGCAAGCATCTGTACCTTTCTTTTTTTTTTTTAATCCTCCAAAGCAGAGACAACTCTACCTATCTCCCCCCCTTCTCCCCTGTGCTGGCTGGGAATTGTCAAGTGACAACCGACCAAATCCTTTCGGACAGGAAGCCTTCATGCTAAGTTCTATATACTTGCAAAACAGGCCTTGTGGTTGAATCAGGGAGCCCATTAAAAGCACTTTGATGGTATGGAAATTCATCTTCATGAAGCTCCTAGGCCCCTGAGCAGCATGCAGTTTAGCTCTGGTTACAGATCAGTCATTCACATCGGAGGGCAATAATTGTGCCGACGGCTTGTAAAGCAATGGAAGTGCACAAAATAATCCCGGGCGCTCCACCATGGCACTGCAAGTTAATCTTCTCTAATACAGATCAGCTGTTGTTCTAACACATGACTTTATCCTGGCTCCAGTGACTCTGCTCAGCCTTTTGATTAAGTAAGAGGAGTGGAACCATCTGCATTGACTTCATTCCATAGTTGTCCATTGTTAGGGAACCTCATTTCCACATCTTGTTCCACCTCCACCATTATACTTTATTTTATTTCTGTGATTAGCACCTCCTATTCGAGGAGTGCAGGAGTTAGAGTTGCCTCTGTTGAAAGCTGCAGCTTTCAGTTTTCCTCTTTTGTAGAATTGTAATCACATTTTTCAAAGACTATTTTTGAAGTAATACCTGCCAAAATCTGCTGGCCAATTAAGATGTCTTAACCATGCATGTTTGATGCAGTTGTGTAACATCTTCGATTAAAGTCTTGTATTTTTATGAGTTTTCAAGTGAAAATCTTAAAATATGAAGGTGAGCAGTTCCATTAGTATAATAATATGGCAAACTCTCATAATGTCAGTGTAAACATTTTCAGCAGGATCCAAACTATTTCACCCCTTATGTTACCCTTCATACCTGACAGTGAAATTATGATTACTGAGGCTTTCTTAGAAATGGTTATCATTGTGGTTGCCTTTTCTTGTTGAACTAACTTGGGTATCACTTCTACAGTATCAATGATCAATATATGTCTGTATAACTCATGGGAATGAGATGATGTCAAGTTTATATATTTCAATCAGTAATTATTCAACATTAGCACCTATTATGTATTAGGGATGATGCTATGTACTTGAGGTACTGCACTGAAAAAGAAAAATGTCCTCTGCCTTTATAGTGTTTATAGTTGAGGTAAAATTATTTTGATCATTAATCATGGCATATTTATGTATGTAGGTCTTCCTATGGGAATTGAATAAGACCCCGTGTTGCTTAGCATATCAGATCAGTTATATACCTGAGTTGACAAAGGTGGGTGCTTATTCTTCGACATAAAGTGACATCATTAAATATATTGTGTATTTCCCTAGTACCTACCTTTTAAATAAATTTTTATAATCATCCAATTTTAGCCATGCCAAAGCATAGGTAGATTAGTAATTGGTTTGACATTTTTCTTTGTAGTTCTTAATGAAAGACAAACAGAACATACGATAACATACTTTCATAGTTTGCACTATTATATTCTCATGTCATGAGAATCACAAAAAGGGAATTTTTTCTCTCTAAAACAATACTCTCAATTTTCATAACCCAGAAAATGTAATGACTGGGTACAATAAAGGAGAGAATAAGATAGGAAGAAGCTGGGAGAAAGGAAAGGGGGAGAGAAATTCAGCCCGGTGCTTTCCATCCGTCTAAAAGGTGACAGCAAAACCTGAGATCCAGATAATTGGAATCCTGTAGTGGAGGTCTGTTTTTTTTTTTTTTTTTTTTTTTTTTGAGTACACAAACCTTACACACATTAACTTTTCCTCACATTTCAGACGATCAGTATGGTTGTCCCAACTAGACAGTCTTAATTCTGAAAAGCTGCATTGGACAGTGAAAACAATTAGAGGTGTGAAGAGAGGGATGACTGTATTCCGGTAACATGTACTAAAGTCAGTTTTACCAAAACACATTTTAATTGAAGACTTCTAAAAGATTTTGCACTTCTTAACTTTTCTTGGAAGTGTTTCAACGTACTCAAGAACTGTGTATGTCGGGTTTCTTGGAAACTCTGGGACACAGTGTTATTTATAATTGTCATCTCTGGTTAATTATAGCCTGATTGTATATTCGAATAATGTTATCTTTTTACCACACAGCTCTGTTACAGAGTAGTGTTATGGATGGATGCGTAAGCCTCTTAGGTAGAAAGACTCAGAAAGAAGACCCTCTGATATTTGTTTTGTAAAAAACACCCGCTTTGCTTCATTAACATGTAAGTGGAAGTTTTAACCATACATTCAACTGCATACTCAGGTTCCGACCTAAAGTTTGAAGGTATCCATACCTAAAAGGCAAGTCCACCAGGCAATACAAAAATAATAGAGACCCAGTGCTCTGGACTGAAATGAAGAATAGACCAGAAGTTTCCCTGCCCTTTCCTCTCACTCCCAATATTGTTATCTTAGGAAGATGATACTTATGCTATAGTATCCGTAAGGAATGTATTTAAACCATCAGTCAAGATGGTAAACATAATCACATCAAAATTGCAACTAAACGACTGAAAAACCATCATTCAGAACCACATGAAATTGAGCTGAATGGAAATTCTAAAACTAGGGAATGAAAGAAGCCACATCAAGGCTGGTAGGAGGGACAGAGTTGTGAAAGGGGCTGGTCCCACATCTACATGTGATAGAAAAAATCAGGAGGGGTTTCTGGGCTGTGGAAGTCCTCCCTCGAGGAGCTAGGGGTCTCAGCCCCTCATCAGGCACCCCAGCCCAGGGTTCCAGTGCCAGGAAGAGAAGTTCCCATACTCTTGGCTGTAAAAATCTGCAGTGATTGAAGATAAGGAAGATGAAAGCTTCTGGAGTCCCAGACAGCTCCTCGTAAAGGGTCCAAAAATAAACATACTCAGACTCATTCCCTGTGAGCTCCAGTGTGGGGAACAGCAGGTTGAAAGACACCAAAGGCACATTGGGAGGAACTGCAACGTCCATCATCAGGACCAGAACTGGGGTACAACTTTCTCCCAGACAGAAGAACTGGGAGAATCTATTGTATCTTTGCTGAGCCGCCCACCCCCTACAGAGCTAGCAGGCAGGTGCCATATCTAAGCCTCTTTCATCCTGGCTATCACTGTTTACCCTACCCTGGTGATTCCCAGAGGTTCCACCCTACCCAACTTTCAGGCCTACCCAAGCTGCTTCCAGCGAGTGACTTTCCTATACAAATAGCCTGTTTGAGCTCATGATTTATATTTTCCTAAAATCTTTCAAACAAGCAGCATCTGGCCTCAGCAAGCCTCGTACCTCTTGCTAACTGGCCCCAGCCCTGGCTTTAGCAGCAGCCCACCCTGGTTTGCATCTTGGACTTGGTTGGGCACCTCCAAGCCCAGCACAAGCAGCAGTTATCTGCACATCATTTTGTAGTTCCTGCTGGGGGTTCTTGGACAGAACACAGGTGGAGGCTGACAATGGCCTGAACATCTCAGGAGGCTTCAGAAACAGCAAACCAAGTGGACCGGTTTAGATGATGTCAGATTATCATCATCCAACCACCCCCATAAACAAAATGCTCAAGGGGTAGACTCATTGATCAGCAGAGCTCTACTGAAGTAAGTCCTGCTCTCT